CAGATTGATACTAGGCACACATCATACATACAACTATTAAAATATCTTGACCAAATGAATGAGAGCTGCAAAAACAGTTGATAAGCATTCCTGGAGCTAACTAGCGCGTATACTATATAGCCAGCCATTGATTCTACTTTATACACAACAGTACAAAATACATAAAAACTAATCCGCAAATTATTTTGCATTGAAATTCTAAACCACCACACTATATGTCTATAGAACACACCACATGGAAACACAAATCTACTTCATACACAACAGTACAAAATACATAGAACTAATCCGCGCATATTCTTTTGCATTGAAATTCTAAACAACAAATCCTATCATCTACATAATACATCTAATGAATACACGCAAGCACAAAACAATAAACTGTTTCATGTGCACTCGAATTCAAAAAAAAAAATGAATAGTATTACAATGTCTCCGTAAACTTCAGTAGAATTAAATTAGGTTCTACTAAATTAAAAAACAACAAGATAAGTCAGTTTAGGGTTGAACATTGGTAGCTCGTGTAAGAATGATCGCGGTTGCCCTGTTTAAATCCTTAATGCATGGATCACACATCTATAGCAACTTTAAGAATCATTTACACTAGAAGTACTCAGGGTTCATAGTTTACATGTCATCATTGTAGGTAGGTGAAGGTATGCGAATAGAATATGATAATATATTTGCCATTATAAATAAATGTCCATCTGAAGAAAATGAGAAAAAAACATATTGGATTCTGAAGATTGGCGAGAGATGCAGGCCAGCAATTAGTAATAATGAAACTTTATAATTAAGTATACGATTTCCTACATCTAATGTGAGTCATGCCAAAAACTTAGGCTATAAGAGCCATGTGAGCGAATCTAAACCATTTTAAATTTATTGAAGAAAAAAATATTCGAATCCAAATAACCAATGTCTTATATCATTTGATCTTAATATTGTAGATTGGCTAGAGGCTGTATTTCTACATATCTATCATTATATTCTACATACTCTATCGTTTGTAATGCAATTCTAAATAACAAACTTTATCGTCTACACTAATTCTAAGAAAAACACACACGCACAGAAACTACAAGCAATATTTCATTTACACTCAAATGAATACGATTATTTGAATAACATTCGATATTCTATATTGCCAAACTATATCATCTGCATTATAGTTATAACCAATACACACACGTATAGAAACCGAAAACCTTATTTAACACATAGCATCACACGTTTCTTAGAATTCTATGCCAAAGTATAGCGATCATCTGGTGTCGGCCTAGTCGATCATACGTATTGTTAACGGGTTCACAGTGCATAGCAAATTGTCATAGTACCCATGATATCCCTCAATCGCTTTCCGAACTTCACGTTCGTTGTTGTGGTGTTACCAGTGCCGGTGTAGGGCCAGTGAAGTAAAAAATCACATACTCTTGAGATATTGCGTGGAAAATGAATTGTTGTTCTTGCTCGACACCTCCAAACCACGTGTTGTCTCATTTAACCACCATACATCGGGATTCCCAATACTCTCATTAGAGCTTTCAGAAACTAGGTATTTGGAAAACAGGTGCCTAATTACACAAACTGCCATCACGTATGCTCGAGCTCATCCCGAGTTTCCCAAACACTGCCCCGATTATCAGGAAGGGAAACTTAAGAATAAACAAGTAAAACATGCGGTCTCCGACTTCGTATATGGGCTGGCTGACCAGCTTCATGTCGATCTCCAAGGGCCCATGAACAAAGATCCATATGGGAACCGCTACGGCCTCCATTCCACCTTTCCCGACAAGGCTGATATTCCGAAGGCCCTACTGGCTCTTCTCGTACAGGTCCCTGCGCATTACCGACTACCAAAAGTTGGTTACAGACGGGGACAGCGTCTTCCCAAGCCAGCAGACCCGAGACATTCTTCTTGCTCGGGGTATGGCTCTTAGTAAATCACCAGCCAACACGCCGCAACTTAATGGAAAGGAGGAAAGTCTTCACGGGACTTGAGCTCGCCCCCCTCTTTGGGGGCACGCCAAGTCTCGTGCAAATGTGATCCGAAAAAAGAATTTAGCTGCAAACGAACGCCTCCGTTCTCCTTCGGATAGGTGGCATGGTATAACTGTCCCACGCTTCCCGGGCGCACGCTACGGCTGCGTCGTCGTGTTCAAACAATCGAGGGTGAAAGCCAAAGCAGCGCACAAATATGGTTCCCCTGCTGGTTTCAGAGTTTTCTTAGCACGTAAGCCCCACTGTACTCCCGACACATGGAAGATCTAAACGCCAACTATGTTCCAGAGATGTGAAGTTCCTCCCTGAAGAACTTAACGCGTCAGGAAAGCGCTGTACGCGCTCAGCCAGTCCTTCTACCTATGTCATTTCGTACTCTGCACTAACCCATTCCGCGGCACTACACGGCGCAGACCCGATCCGTACCACAGGGGTGGGTACTCTACTTAGTAGGTCAGCGAATATATGGAACATTCGATAGTAACAGTATTTTGTCAACACCGGCCCGAATTGACTCAGCACATATCTTCCATTGTCGACTCACTTGGCCCAAGCTTCAAACGGGAATTTACTGACCACTTCTTCCCATCAATCTTTCCTGAACCACTACAGCGACTATGAGAGCCATACCATAGGTTCATACATACTTGCCATTTTTGAAATAAATAATATTATCCCTATGTCATTCCTACTGAGTGGTACAATTTAAATTCTTCCATCACAGCCTTTATAACGCATGTGCCGTCCGTTCCACTAGTTGCAAAAATAGCGGGTTCCTAATAGTAGTTGCACAGTTAACGTATATTATAAACGTATTCACGTATTAATGTTTATACTTATCATATTGTATTACGTTTAACGAATTGGACATGAACAAGAACTGAAATATTCAAGATTCTGAACATGTGATAGTACTCAGTAGAGTATGGGACTCTACTGTGGACAATTAGGTGGTTTTCCAAATATAGATTGGTTTTTCCACTGAAATTAGAATTGTACATAATATAGGAACGACACCAATCTGACACCTGAAAATGACACTTTGGGAATCTCTAATTAACGGGAGTACCATGAAAGAGGGTCTCAGGCATGAAATGGTTGTTGGTACAAACCGGTGGTATAATTCGATAATAATCTCAGAGCAAGATACTCCACTGAGAAAAGGACAGGATCAGAGTTGTTAGAATTTAGGACAACATGGTTTTGATTCCTCCTAGCCAGCCAACTAGATGTGCCCGTCTATGCCTTAAATGGGATGGAGAGCTAGGTACCAAGTGATGAGGTTTAGGTGCAGATGTATACTGCACCGACTTGGTGTTTTCATTTTCTTTTTGATTTTCTTAAGTTGGACTTAGATATATTTTATTGGTTAGTTTGATTATGTAATTGTTTCGAGGCGTGAAATGTAAACTATGCGTCCAATGAAATGATATAAATAAATCTAGACCGAAGTAGTGAGTGATTAGAGCGGAGCATATAGACAATAGTCTCAGTCTAAAATCCCCTAATCTTTTGCTCATTACCTAGGGCTGTAGCTAAACTAATTTAACATTTTGCATTTTAACGTATTAACGTATTGTCTTATTAACGTAAACTTCTTGGTATCGTATAGTCAGCCTAGAGGAGACCGACTTTTACATTGTTGCCATATCTTTATCTGTCGTCTCACCCGCTGTCCCCCCAACTCCACATTCTTACTGTGCCTTCTACCGAACTCACAATGCCTCCTATTTCTAAGGCACCTACATCGTATATTTCGCAGCCTGCACCCACGACGTCGCCAATTGCGTGCAACATTGCCATTCACCGTCATTAAAACCTTCACGCTCTCTTGTCTCTGCGACGATACCCAGCACTACCGTCGAACTGCCCTTCCACCAGCATTTGCCACGACGATGAAAAGCGACCATTTCCTGTATATTACGCCCCGCGGTCTCACTACCAATTTCCAGACATACCTTAAAGTTGCCAAAGACAGTAACTCACGCTCGCTACACAACCGCTACCGGAGTCACCTCCTCGTATTTCATACGGCATATGACGGATCGGAACACTCAGACATAGATGTCCTCTCAGCGTCACCTCAATCAGATCACTCCCTGGGCAGCCATTCATCTGTCATTATTCTAGACGACGGTATTAATTCGTCACAAGAAATGTCTGACTTTTCACCACCATAGTTTGATGACGGTATTATCAACCCATGGAAATTTAACAACTACACGGCCAATTTCGATTTCCCAATCCTGCCCCTCACCATGAAGCGTGTTTTACAGCACCAGACGATCTTACCGTCAATACCCCTCTCGAACTCTCCGCTCTCCTTGACAACACCTTGCCACGTGGCGTCAAACAGGCCCAAAAGTCTCCTGCTTGGCCGTGGTGGCGTGCAGCCATCGACAAACAACATGCGGCTCACATCGTAAACGGTCTTGCTGACATCGTACCGCTTGCTTTCGTGCCCGCTCACAGGAGAATCAATCATTTCAAGTAATTTCTTACACGGAGGCACGACGAGAAATCAACCACTGGAAATTTAACAACTACACGGCCAATTTCGATTTCCCAATCCTGCCCCTCACCTTTACAGCACCAGACGATCTTACTGAAAGATTCGGTCTATTAAGGCGATATTAACGCCTTAGAGTAAATAAACGCGTAGGTAAATTCTAAGTATCGTGAAAATATCAAAGTAAATAAACGAAATGAGACTTTTAGTAAAGTTAGGTATGCCTCGAGAAAACAGCAATACTCTGAGGGATTGTGAGGCTGAGACATTGCCTATATATAATCCTCTCAGTATTGTTTCCGCCGAAGGGATTTTATTTAGTGTTTCGTTGTCGCTCTATTAGAAACTATGGTATGTTTCATTGGGGCGAATCTGAGAGATTCATAAAATCCTATCTTTAGAAAGAAAGAAAAAAAGGAAAAATACTCTTGATGTCCTTAGTTATTGTCTTAACCAATAACTTGCCACTTATCAAGAATTACCGACTAAGCTTTCATCAGACTGGCACATCTGGTTGGCTGATCGGAGGATCAACTAGGTAACGTTAATAGTCCCTAGAAACCTATATTCGGTTGAGCCATCTCGCTACCGAAGTATTCAGATATAAATAAAGTTGGAAAGTAAATATAGTTCTATTAATAGAACTAGACCAACTCTTATGTTTGGTATTTTACTGGGGCCTTTTAATGGCCTCGTTCAAATATCTGATATGTAAAATGGAAAAGGTATTAATTAATAAAACCATTAAAACCCATTTAGGAAACTTAAGTTCCTCGTACTATTAAGAGTACGTTTATAATTTACGTTCTGCTTAAGAGTACGTTTATAACATAGAGTCTAATGTGGAGGCCCGGCTATTACACAGTCCCCACCCAGCTTTGAGACCCATGAGAAGCAAGTTGCTCACTCAAGCTGATTATGGGTCAAAAAGCGAGAAAGGAAAAACGCGTCGAAAACATTAAATAGCATAACATATAGTTAATGTTTCTCAGGCGGAGAAGTTAAGAGTTCTCGGTTACCCTGTGAGTTTTGGGCTTAGGTCCAGTAGGTCCGTGGTGGTCGACTGGACGTTTCTTACGCTTCAGTGTCTTAAGCACATATGAAGGATGAGCATTAAAGCTCGGGATAAATGCTGTAAGCGGATAAGTTTTAACTTCCGTGCCTTCAGACGATGAAAACATGCTATCCTTTTCAGCTTGTGACTTATGCAGGCGTTTACG